GATCCCTTGTTTATCTTTTTCCACTAAAGCTCATCGGTGCTGACCATGGCCTGCACACATCTGGTGGTGTGCAGATTTCCTACCTCTCAGAGATGCTGACTTTAGAAGGATTAGGAGGTCTCGTGCCTACGCTCAAGATTGGTTCAGAGATGGAATCTACGCTGCACTACGTCAACTCTGATGATGCCCGTGAAGGAGGAGCCTTCACTCGATAGTCTTCCGCTAGATTAACTCTGTAATAGGTGTGTTTCCCAGAGATGTAATATCTTGTAATCTTGTAATCTTACGATGTAAGACTGTGACATCGACTGAAATATGATAATATGATGGAATTAGTTCTTGGTTTCATCATATTATAATTCATTCTGTGGAACTTTTCCCTTCGCGGAAAAGTTGAGGATGTTTCATCGGGTTGCCCTAAACCCCGGTAGTTCAAGCTTAATATTTTCATTGTGCCCGGCGGGGACTGCCACTTGCAGCCGCCGCCGATCGTGCATTTTGTGAAGTTGTGCCTCTCTTCTGCTTCTTCAGCATTTCCACCATACTCTCACCACTTTTTTCGGAACCTCCATCTAGCTGGTTCAATCTTGAACTCACAAGGCCTACCGGAACAATGGCATTAGAAGCCTCAGCCGGTACATTAAGGTCTGGGGTCTGCAGGTTTTGGCCAGCCCCCTTCGACTTATGTTTCCGAGGTAGCCTGGTATTTGTTTCCTCCTTGACCGGCTGGCCTTTCCCTGCAGTTCCCTCTGTATTCCTCTTCTTCAACGGTGACTGAACTTCTCTTTCTTCTAGATTTTCCACTGGTTCTGAAGCTGAGAACCGGGATTCATCTCCCAGAGACGATCGGTCATCACTATAACGACAATGATCTTTGGATGGCCTGTACGTCGAGGAGCCGCTACCAAAGGACTCAGCTGCAGCTCCCGCGAAGGACTGTACTCTTCTCCTACGTTCCTCCGGTGCTCTCAGAGGGACATCATAAGGTAGTTTGCCGAACTCATTACGTGGTGCTGGGTGTGGGCAATCGATCTCTGAGTGACCCATTAGACCACATGAGAAGCAGTAATAAGGAAGACGTTCATACTGCGCCTCAAACCACTTTGGCTCCTCCGTCTTGCTCATTCTCAGGAGCACACCCCGACGAAGGGGTTTGTCTAACTCAATAGCAACACTAGCCCGCAGGAAGGCCCCGCTCGCCTTCCCATCTCCATCGACGTCCATTTTCACAACATGGCCGATCAGGCTCATGGCCCGTGTTCCCCGCTGCTGGTTCATCCAACCTAGCGGGAGCTTGAGGATGTACACCCAAATCTCCATGCGATCAAAGATGATTTCATCAGCACTAAGTCTTTCATCATAAGGCTTGAGAACTACTGCATGCCTTCCTACCATCCACGGGGTCCCCGCAAGGATCCTCTCCATATCGGCCTTTGAACCAACCTCAGCGACGAGCATGTTGTCCGCCTTCTCTCCTATAGCTTGGATCTTTAGGCCAAAAGGATTGCCCTAGTTTGGCTTCATCGCCGCCCGGATCGTATTGATGTGTACTGCCATGGGTGAGAGAACCTTCCCCACCACTGCCCACTCCGTCGGAGGGAGATCATCAATCTCCTCATCATCACTGAAATCTACTACCGCTCCTTCTTCCTCTGTTAGATTAAGGCGCTTTAGAAGATCAGAAACACTCGGACTAGGGTTTCCATCCCCGCCGAAAGGAGCCTTCCCGGTCCCCTTACTTCCACCCCCGTCCGACACCATCAAGGCAACAGGATCAGAGAGGAAAAAACAGTAGCGATAAGTACGCCAGCGAGTGCCGGCGCGATCGCAAAGCCCAGCGAAGCCCTAAGCGGCGCTTACTACGGAACTATGTGGTCGGCGGCGCCAGGACGGCTAACCAACGATTTGCGGAGGCCGGCAACGACCAGCGATCGTTGGCGGGGCGTGGACACCAGCAATCGAAGGGATCACCGGTACATGCACGCAAGACCTGGGGTCCTCGCAGTTTCTGCAATGTACTAGTACTACTCAGGCAGTGCACGGCACAGCGCGGTGGATCATAGGCTGTGTCAGCACGAGGCAGCCAACCACGGAGTATACCTAGGGTTTCGATCTGCAAACTGCAATGCCACCAGGCATGCAGCTAGCGAGGACTGCGACCGACGAGGACGAGAGACCACACACAGCTGCTAGCTAGGGCCGGCGGTCGGCAGGCGCAAACGACGCTGTCGCTTGGAGAATTTTTATTTTTTAAACCTTTTTTATTTCATATTTAAATAATAATAGTACCTGAAAATTTTTTACCATTTTGGTCGCGCCAGTGCCGCTGGGTCGCGCCACATGCATTAGCGTGACAACACCTACCACGTTAGACAACGTTTCGACGTGGAAAACCTTATCGCACCACTGCCGTTGGCGCGACAGTATTGTTCTATCGTACCACTGAGAGTGGCGTGACGAGGCTCAAACTTAGAAAAATCATAACTATTTGATACGACATCAGATGAAGATGATTTTTATATGAAAATTATAGATCTCGACGAGATCTACAACTTTCTAGTTTTGAGTTTTTCCATTTGAGGACGTTAAGATGCTCAAAAAAATATATATAATTTCAGTTGCATAATATTTTCTCGAGCATCTTAACGACCTCAAATGCAAAAACTCAAAACTATAAAGTTATAAATCTCATTGAGAGCTACAACTTTGGTATAAAAAGTATCTTTATTTGACACCATACAAAGAAGATACTATTTATCTAATGCGATAAGCGTAGTGCGTGATTATTATGGTGCTGAAATTTTATATAATTTTTTTGAGCATCTTAACATCCTCAACTGGAAAAACTCAAAGATAGAAAGTTGTAGATCTCGTCGAGATCTACAATTCTCATATAAAAATCATCTTCATCCGATATCGTATCAAAGAGTTATAATTTTTTTCTAAGTTTGAACCTGGTCACGCCACTCCCGATGACGCGACAAGACAATACTGTTGGGCCAATAAGAGTGGCGCGACAAGGTTTTCAACGTCGAAAACGTTATCTAATGTGTCAGGTGTTATCGCGCCAATGCATGTGACGCGACAATGTTATTTGGTCACGCCAGCGGCACCGGTGCGACCAAAAGGGTCAGATCCGTAAAAAATTTTCATATGCGATTATTATTAAAATATTGAATAAAAAAGATTAAAAATATAAAAAAATTCCCTGTCGCTGCAGGCATGCAGAGAGGGGTAATTTATTCGCTTCCAGACACGCGGACCGTACCCGACGACGTTACGTCGTCGACGGCAGCCGGCCTGCTTGCTTCTGGGAGGGAGACCACCATCCTTCCTGAGCCAACGCCGATGACGACTGCTGCCGATCGTCAAACCTGCTCGGCATCGATCGACGGCTCGACGCCGCCGTAAGACAGAAGACCAGAGGTCGTCGTCGTCGTCGTCGGCCTGCTCTCCAGGACGCGAGGACGCACCTCAGACACCTCACATGGACGTGATTCATGAGGCTCCCGGCAAAAGCCTGAGCTGCAATGAATTGCACAATTGGGCGCTGTACGTGTGCCTAGTACTATACAGTACGTAGAGGCCGATGAGTTGAATTGGACTGGTGCACTGCACTGCAGCTCCCATGTCGTGGGGGTACCACTCGTACAATGCAACGTAGCCTAGCTTGCAATGGTGCTGCTCGGGCTACTGCCGGAGCAACTAGGGCACCTGCAACATGGAGCGCCTGGCCCGCTCGTAGGGAGGACGAACGTCGTGCCATACTGCCATGTCTGCCATGGGTCACAGGTCTCGCACCAATATATATAGCATATATATATTGGTGACAATGATGGTTCTATAAAAAAAAAATTCAGGAAGCCTTACCTCTATGGTTGTTGGCACGATGACAGGGACGGCCAATGCATGCTTGAGGCAGCAATGGCTCCAACAGACTTGAGCAGCATTATGACTATCTCTGCGATATTTTTAGGCAACAAGGAAATTGCATATCACTCAAAGATTCAACATATTAAATTTAAGAGATAGCTAATAAGAAATTGAATATTTTGTGAGGGACTTGGATAGTTATTATCTCGAGAAATAGAGCTCAACAAGAGAAAACTCGAGGAATGGAGCCACGAGCTAGGAGTAGGGAAAAGGAAATAGAAGAGAGAGAAAACAATAATATCTATATAAAACTCATGCCAATAAACATAGTGGGGTGCATGGAGAAATAAAGGACAATTCTAATCAAACAAATAAAAATACTTACAAAAGTATTTTCAGGTAAAAAAACATATGCTATAATGGAAAAAATATTGCTATCTGAGTTTTTGAGTGGTACGCCACCTTGCTATCATATTTTTTAAAAATATCCGGAACATAGCCGGCGTATATTAATAAGGAGAAGAGAGAATTACATAAGCCAGCGGCGCAAACGGCTCCCTAAATTTGGCAGATCGCCAAGCTAGGCAAGGATATTAAAAGGACTACTCGCAATCTAGAGGTACAAAAATGAGCCACAACAACTTGGCTCCCAAACAGCAACACAACCAACCTTTATCTTCTAACCCGTCAAACAATCTAGCCACCGAGAACCTTGCTAGTCTATTAAGACTTAAGAGGTAGTTTCCCGACCAAATAATATTATAAGATTCAAAAATGTGTTTTTGTATACTATTTTAATCAAAATATCGAACACAATCCTCAATCTCTTCGAACAAAGTTAACAATTTCCTTACTAATTATAAAGACGAGAGTGAGGACTGAGGAGTGAGTTATGGAATGTACCACACGGAGATCATATATATGATGAGGCAGCTTTAGCTAGGCCCTGAACTGGTGTATAAATTGTTGGTAGGCGCTCAACCGATCCACATTTGCTTTACCTATGCACATACACATATATATTCAGATTCAGAGAAGCTAAGCTTGTGCTGCACTACAGTGAATAAACCAGAGCAGGTAGTAACTGCAGACTGCAGTTAGTCTGCGGTGGCGGCAGCGCAGTAGCTATGACGGCGGACGGCGAAGGCGGCGGCGAGAAATCAAAGTTCCGGTGGCTGGACGCGGCGCGCTACGAGGTGGCCGCCGCGGTGACCGTGCTCATCATGGCCGTCATCGTCAACGCCGTGAAGGTGGTCCTTCGCCCCGACTCGCTGCAACTCTCCGTCGACAAAGGCTCCATCTTCACGGCGCAGTATCCGCCACAGCTGATCATGGAGCTCAAGCTCCGGGCGCAGAACCCCAGCGGCCAGGTCCGGATGTTCTACGTCAGCGTCACCGGGTACCTGTTCGACAACACGACGTCGGCGTCGGCGTCGTTGGATCCAGGATACGATTCCGTCGTCATCTTCAAGCCGAAAGACATGGCCGTGGTCCAGCAGGAGGCACTGGACTGCAGCCTAGGTATGAAGGTGGTGAGGGAAAAGCAGATGGATCCGTCCCACTTCGACGTGCTGTACAATGGCAGCAGCTTCAGCGACATGACGCTGCGGCTGGACGGCGACCTCATCACCGAGGTGACGTCCGAGCTCAACATGACTCGCCGGACCACCTACTACTGCGAGGAGCTCCTCGTCGGCGGGAACGGGGACGACGAGGCTTTCAAGTACAGGCAGGATGCCATTTGCAAGCAGCGAAGGGCCACGAATTAGACTGGCTAGGGGCATCATTTCGACCGTATAATGTTTCAACGTAGCATTATCTTGTATTCTGTTATAGATGTTGCTAGTATCTTTGGAGATTGCTTGGCTTGACCAAATACTCTTGCTAGTATCTTTGGAGATTGCTTGGTTTGACCAAATACTCTGATGCTTTCGACGATCTCTATTCTATTCGGCTCCAGTATGTACTTGTTTCTGAAAGTCTGCACTAAGACTAGAGTCAGTAAATTTCAATCGATACACTGCTACGTAAATGATTTTTTAGAGACATCTCGTCTTTTCTTTTTCGAAGGCTTGTAGCCAATAGAAACGACGATCGCTCTAAAACTTGATTTATAAAGGTTTTTTTTTTTTTACCAACCACCTGAGTCTGTCTACTACACAACCATGTGTTTTATGCAGTTCCAACATATGAATTTTTTAGCACCATAGGATTAAGATCCAACAGCCTTCACCCTTCTTCTACCTCCAGCCTCCTGCCTTCTTCTACCTCCAGACAATCATAAATCACAAGATCGGAGATCACAAGTCTGTCTACTACACAACCATGTGTTTTATGCAGTTCCAACATATTTTTTTAGCACCACTGGATTAAGATCCAATAGCCTCCACCCTTCTTCTATCTCCAACCTCAAACCTTCTTCTACCTCCAGAGAATCACAAATCACAAGATCACAGATCACAAGAAATAATTTTTTTCTATAAAAGGACAAATCACAGATCGCATAGGTGTTTATGTGTCCGTTATGACATGTGGGCCCCAGACGTCATAGATATAAAAAATTCATGTGTTTTTTTGGTGCTAAAACACATATGTGTTATATAGCATTTTTGCAAGAAATACCTTGGTCAGTGTTTCCAACCCCCATACAAGTGGCCGCCCCTAAAAGTGATTTTCAGGAGCATTTTATGTTACCAACCATCCCGAGAAATACAACAATTTCTCATCAAGTATTAGCATTTTCAAAAATAAATTATAAAAGGTCAAATTTCAGAACATCCAAACGATTTCAAATCATTCACCATTTTTCCAAAAAAATCGTGACTCATGAGGCCACAAAACCAAGTCATTGGTCATGGATGCATTGTCTGTTCACTACTGGATCCAGGTTCTTTGCCGAGTGTCTGAGGCACTCGGCAAAGGCCAAATTGCACTCGGCAAAGCCATTGCCGAGTGCGGCACTCGGTAAAGAACACATGGCAAAAAATTGATCGGCAAAGCCCTCTTTGCCGAGTGTCTTTTATCGGGCACTCGGCAAAGGCTTTGCCGAGAGCCCCGGGGGCACTCGGCAAAGAAAAGCGACCGTCACGGCGCCGGCCCCATTGACGGTTGCTTTGCCGAGTGCCAACCCTGCAGGCACTCGTCAAAGATTTTTTATTTTTTTAAAAAAAATTATTTGGCAAGTGTCCTCGATCCGGCCTTCGGCAAAGATGTTTTATTTTTTTTTCTAAAAATTCTTTGCCCAGTGCCCCCTGGCCGGCGCTCGGCAAAGTTTGATTTTTTTTTAAAAAAAATCTTTGCCGAGTGCCCTCTCGCCAGCACTCAGCAAAGTTTGAATTTTTTTTAAAAAAAATTCTTTGCCGGGTACCATGGTCATGACACTCGGCAAAGCTGGAAAAATGGTTTTTCAAGCGCCCATTTTTCCAGCTTTGCCGAGTGCTGTGACCATGGCACTCGGCAACAGGGTCCTTTGCCGAGTGCAACACTCGGCAAAGTGACCCAAAACGGCAATTTTAATTTTTTTTTTTACATTCCATCATAACAAATAAATTTATACAAACATATATCACATATATATCGCATCCATCACATGTATATCTCATCCATCCACACATCCATCCGCACATATCACATTCATCACAACATATATCACATATATAATAATAAGTGCTCAAGTCTATCCAAATAAATCCACAACTCCATCACAAGTCCATCAAAGTCCACAAGTATATCACAAGTCCATCACCAAGTGAACAACAAATAAAAAAAAATACAACGTGCACTCATCTCGGCCACTGCGACTATGGTGAAAGCCCAGCTCCATCATTCAGAGGTGCATGAGGTGGATTATTCGAACCACCATCAGATGGAGACTGCACAAAGAAGAAAAGATTGCATGTGAGACAAGATTATTTGGATAGCTAATCTAGGAAGGTAGACGCCATACAAGCAAAGCACAAGAGAAAGTAAAAAACTTTCATACTCACAGGAGTAGCTACAGCTGCAGCTGCAGGACGCGGAGGCGGAGGTGGAACCAACAGCCCAGCTGGCAGAGAGAAGCCAACAGTAGCAGACTATAACAGCAACAGCCTACTGCATAATCCTAGATCTTGCTAACAGAAAGAGGTGAAGAAGCTATCTTGACAGATATAGCACATGGCCAAGAGGCAGTAAAAAATATTTAACAGTCTCTAGCAGAAGGTCCCCATATCTAAGTATCTAAATACTGACAGTGCACTATTATTACTGAGTTGTAAATTCTTTGTTCATTCTTCTATATTGAATAGTCTAGAAGGAAAACAAGGCATGAACTAATTCCCATGCAGCACAACTAATATAAGGAAATATTGCAAGAAACAGCCACCACAAACTCAACTGTAAGTCATCATCATAGGCATCTACGATGGAAGAGTACATCAGAGAAGCACGCCCTGCAAATATTAAGAGTAAAAGTTTGGTGAGTCTATGCAGCAGCATCAGTGAAATAACCTCCAAAGTTTCTGTATAACACATGGCTTTCCTATGAGACAAATACCATAGATTAAATGAGGCAAAGTCAGTTATAACACCAAGTATCACAGTTCAAAGAGGAACAATGAAATTCTGTTTCAAGGACAATAATATAGATATAGCTCTAGCAACTTATACAACACAGTGACTTGTAGATATGGTAGTATGGGCTCAAGTTCATTCTGAATAGATTAAAATCATGAGCAGAACCATATTTGTTAATGTGGAAGGAGGGCTGCAAATATTAGCGCCAAGCTGTATTGAAATAGACCACAGACCATATATATGCTATAAGCAAGGTTTTCATTATCGGAAATAAAAATTTATCGGAGGTCATGGATAAATAGGATAAGCAAGATATATCGGAAATATCGGACCAAATTCAAAAAAAATTCAAATTGTTTTAAAAAAATTCCGTAGAATTTGACTTGAAACTATTCCTAAGCTATTAAACATCATTTGTTTACAGATAAAAACAAGAATAAAATATTATAGTGTGGGATTGTCGTACGGCTGAATTTGAGTTGTCTGTGTGGAAGCAGGAAAGAAGGGAAAAATTTGGCCGATGTCAAATTTTATCGGACCCTGTGGATAGAAAGGAAATTTCGAAAATTTCCGTGAATTTCGGCCGATAAAAAAAACCTTGGCTATAAGGAGTCAAGGGACATAAAAAAGCCTCTTATTTCAGAATACAATTATTATCTATTTTAAGATTGTCAAGATGGAAATCCATAACAATTGTAGATAGACTTATTTGAAAGAAGACAGAAGCATATTGAGAGCCTAGGTAGTCCAGTACACTATCATGCATCCACAATTGTTACTTATAGTAGGCATCTTCACCACAGAACTCACCACTACCAATATTATTAGAAAAGAGCTGAATCCGCTACTACCTGTATAGAAAATAATTGTAGTCTCTGTCAGATGCGGCAAAAGAAAAACTAATCTTCCTCAGGGCAATAATTAAAATCAGATGACAATATGAAAAAGTATAATAGAGCAAACACAAAAAGGATTGCAGGTAAGCTTACATCTAAGAGCAAAAATCCTTGCAGCCCCCCTATGGATCACAAGCGGAGGAACTGCATTAGCTCTCCCTCCTTGCCTGTACTTCCGTGTAACACATGCTTTTGTATGAAATGTGTAAGCCTGATGCAAGGGGATGGGAAACAAATTCATCTGTAATTCATTAGCAATTAGCTGACCGCATACTTTTAGTTGGAAATATGAACAGTTGGTACTAGAAGTAGCAGGTGCAAATCAAAATAGTTTTTGGCTCCTGCACTCCAAGGCTCTCATCAATGAACTCTAAATGGAAATATTTTTCATTTCTGCATGTGGAGCATTCATTTTACTAGGCACCAACATGTGAAATATGTACTATCAGGTTGTCAATAAAAAAATCCACTGCTTGTGATCACAATAACATGTGAAATCAAGAAGACACTTGTGCAGTCACTCCAGGAAGATGACAGCAGTGATGTAAGTCTGGCATTTAGGCTTTATCTTACTGTTAACTCAATAGCCCAGAAACGACTAGCATTTCAATTCTTCCCTTGTTTATATTTGTAGCTGAATTGAGAGTGATTTATCTTTTTAAATAACAATTTATATTTGTCAGACGGTATCACTCGGCAAACCATTTTTTTTTTGTATTTTGACCTCCAAATTTTTTCTGTAGTCCTCTTATAGTACTGGGTACTCCATGTCGAAATTTAGTACATTTCCTGAACTGTTTGCTATATTTAGTTAATTTATTTTGTTTACTTGAATTTTTTCGAAAAATTTAAATTTGAACTGTACGTGATACGAATAATGGAATTTAATGATTCAAAAAATAATATTCATGTTACAGAGTATAGTGTGAGGCCGTATCCAGAAACGGACCCGAAATTTCGAACATCTTCTTCACGAAACATGACCACGAACTTGCGGACGAATTGTTTTAAAATTCTATAAAATGCAAACGAAGTCCGAAAATCATGAAACTTGTCGAGATGTCATGATATCGTATGTGAAGGATGTGATAAAAATTTAAGAAGGTTTAGTGGACGTTATCACGTACGATGCTTACAAACTAGGACATCTTCACATGTGATATCTGATAGCACATGTAGAGATGTTCTGGTTTGTAAGCATCGTACGTGACAACGTGCACGAAATCTTCTGAAATTTTTATCGTAGCCTCCACATACGATATCACGACTGCTCAACAAGTTTCATATTTTTGGACTTTGTTTCCTTTTTATAGAATTTAAAAATAATTCGTCCACAAGTTCGTGGTCATGTTTTGTGACCAAGATGTCCGAAATTTCGGGTCCGTTCCTGGATACGGCCTCACACTACACTCAGTAACATAACTATCATTTTTTGAATCATTAAATTCCATTATTCGTACCACGTGCAGTTCAAATTTAAATTTTTCGAAAAAATTCAAGTAAACGAAATAAAGTAACTAAATATATCAAAAAGCCACAAAAAGCCCCAAATTCTAACGAGGAGTTCCTGGTACTTAAAAAGGGCTACACAAAAAATTTGGAGACCAAAAACAAAAAAAAAACATTGCCGAGCGCCGGGACATGGCATTCGGCAAAGGGGGTCTTTGCCGAGTGCCAAGAATAAAGCGCTAGGCAAAGAGGTTTTTTGAATTTTTTTTAGAAATTTCCTCTTTGCCGAGTGCCTTCACAGGGGCACTCGGCAAAGGAATTTCCAAAAAAAAATTAATTCCTCTCTTTGCCGAGTGCCGAATCAGTGGGCACTCGGCAAAGACATTTCAAAAAAAATATTGAATCTTTGCCGAGCGCCGTGTCAGAGGCACTCGGCAAAGTATTTTCCAAAAAAAAAAATCTTTGCCGAGTGCCTAACAGTAGGCACTCGGCAAAGAAGGACGTGGCCGAACACCGTTACGCGGGGTAGCCTATGCCGAGTGCAGCGCTTTTGTCGAGAGTCTGGCACTCAGCAAAGAAGTCCTTTACCGAGTGCCCTTTTTGCCGAGTGCAATTCTTTGCCGAGTACGACACTCGGCAAAGAAGGTTTTTACCGAGTGCCCGATTTTTAACACTCGATAAAGCAGTTTGCACTCGGTAAAGGCTCTATTTCCAGTAGTGGTTGTTGCCATGGCCTATATATACGTAGCTTGGAAACTACTATGGGAACTTGCAAAGCACGGTCGAGTAACAGAGCACACACCCATGGTTGTAGTTTTGCCGCTATTACTAATCCTCTTGTTCGGTTACTGCCCCACTAGCCGTGCAGCTGGCGACGAACATGGCTTCATAGGCATCGTCGACATGCAGAGCTCACTGAAACCACAGGCCGCCGCCTGCTCCGGACACAGCGCCGGTACGTCCGGTCCGGCTGCAACATCTTCAATGAGAAACATAAATGATGCAGTATTTTGTTTGCTGACAATTACTATGTGTGTGTTAACAATGTTTGACGCACAATGAAAAGACAGTGATCCCGCCACACAAAGGCACTTGGGTCCCGTTGTACCGCCATCTCGGGCCGTGATCGCCGGCGGCGGCATCTACCTACGCGGCGAAGGCGAGGCCGCCGCCGTCATTGGCCGACCTGCTCCGCCAGGACCAGCTCCGCGTCGACCACATCCACAGGAGGCTGTCGTCGTCGTCCGAAGGCGTCCGCGTGAGCAAGCAGGCCGGTCCCGTCAAGGAACCGCTGCGTTCCGAGGTGATCCACCTCCACGACCAGCCGGTTATCCAAGTCACAATCGGCTCCGAGAGGAAGACCTCCGCCGCCTGCGGCAGAGGCGGTGTCGGCGGCCAGCAAAGCCAGGCGGCGGGAGTTGTCCAGACGGTGGTGCTGGACACGGCCAGCGACGTGCCGTGGGTGCAATGCCACCCCTCCGCGTCGGCGACGGACATCACCTCCTCCTCCTACTACGACCCAGCTAGGTCGGCCACGTACACCGCCTTGGCGTGCAACTCCGCGGCCTGCGCGGAGCTCGGCCGCCTCTACCGCGGCGCCTGCGTCAACAACCACTGCCAGTACCGCGTCCCTATCCCCAGCTCCCCCGCCTTATCGTCGTCGTCGGGCACGTACGTCTCCGACCTCCTCGCGCTCGCGGCCGACCCAGCAAACGGCGCTTTATCCTTCAAGTTCGGGTGCAGCCACGCCGAGGCCAAGCAGGGCGAAGAAGGCAGCTTGGACAACGCAACCGCCGGAGTCATGGCGCTGGGCGGTGGCCCGGAGTCGCTGGTGTCCCAGACCGCGGCCACCTACGGGAGCGCCTTCTCGTACTGCATCCCAGCGACGGAGAGCCGCCAGACGGGGTTCTTCGTGCTCGGCGGCAGCGGTGACACCCCTCCGCTGGCGCCGGGTACGTGGTGACGCCCTTGCTCAGGTACGCGCGGGTGCCCACGTTCTACCGCGTGCGCCTCCTGGCCATCGCCGTCGACGGGCAGCAGCTCAACGTGACCCCCTCGGTGTTCGCCGCCGGCTCCGTGCTGGACTCCCGGACGGCCATCACCCGGCTGCCGCTGACGGCGTACCAGACGCTGCGCGAGGCGTTCAGGAGCAGGATGGCCATGTACAGGGAGGCGCCTCCGCAGGGGAACCTCGACACCTGCTACGACTTCACCGGCGCCTTCTTAGTCATGGTGCCAAGGATCGCGCTGCTGTTCGATGGGAACGCCGTCGTGGCGCTGGACCGGCAGGGGATCCTGTTCCACGACTGCCTCGCGTTCACGTCTAACAGCGACGACCGCATGCCTGGGATACTTGGCAACGTGCAGCAGCAGACGATGGAGGTGCTCTACAATGTTGGCGGCGGCTCCGTCGGCTTCCGCCGCGGCGCGTGCTGATGATGCCGGGCTCCTGGCTACCCCCGCTAGCACCCAAATTATCTACTGTAGTTTTCAGACTTGGCATTTGTTGTTTGGTTCATTATGTTGTGACAAGCGCTGTCTTATTAGCAAATATCCTCGTGCGGTGCAAGTTGTAACGGTACATACAACTTGTGTTGTGCAGTGAACTGGATGTGCTCGTGCCAATTATAATGATGTAGCAACCTTTGTTTGATTAAATTGGGCTTGGCCCAACCCTTTTTTTACTAATCACATAAATTTCAAGACCTACAATAAGTGCCAGGTACAATAATAGAGGATTAAAATCCCATATAAAAAATTGACTCGAGATTAATTCACCTTAAATAGGTGGATATTATCTGCACCTGTGGTTAAAAAACTATTGTAAAGCGAGCCACGTATTCTCAGATTTGCAACTCCAAACTATAACTGATACCATATTAGAAGACCAACCTCATCCACGTCATGCTAGAGGAGGATACAATCTGCCTCTACTAGACCATGGACTTCTGTCATGGGTGGGTGGGAGTGGAAAATGGAGCAGAAGTGGGGTGGGGGTAAGAGGACAAATGGACATGAGAGAGTGGATGGGCCAAGAGGAGCTGAAGGGAGAGACTAATGGGAAGGAGGAGAGGGCGATGGACCAAAAGAAGGTGGAATGAGTTTAGCTCTTTACCTCCGCTACCACCGCCAAGTGGAGGTGGATAGTCGCCCTTGAGCGAGAGGACTATGGACCGTGTCGAGACGAGACCGGGAGCTAAGTAAATGTGGCGTGCCATGTAGATGAGTGATGATGGAGCTAATAAGACATGAAAACGTGATGTGCCTTGCTTGTATTATAAGGAGTAAGAATTAACGGCAAACAAAAGTTTTAGGACTGAAATGACCACTTTGATATATAGTTATGGATGAATGGGTCCAAAAGTGAAATTTGAGGATTGAAATGGCTAATTTGATAGTTTAGGACCAAGATGAAGCTGAACTCAAAAGTAAACTTTATGGCCAAAACGACCACTTTAGTAGTTTGGGGACGAAATTGAACATCACCTGATAATTAAGGATTTGAGGGATGAAAATAGTTATTCCAGAAAAAATGTGTTGTTTATATGTTTGTGTTAAGTAGTGCAGTATGTTTTAAAAAAAATGAAAAGAATTCACATCATGCTAGAGGAGGATACAGTGTGCCTCTAATAGACCATGGACTTCTGTCGTTGGTGGCTTGGAGTGAAGGACAATAATGGAGTTGAAGTGGGGTGGGAGTAGGACAGATGGACATAAGAGAGAGCGATGGGCCAGAGGGTCTGAAGTGAGAGATTATTAACGGACAGAGGAATAAGTTTTAGCTCTTTACCACCACCAAGCGGAGGTGGATAGTCACCCTTGAGCAAGAGGACTGTGGACCGTGTCGAGCTGGGAGCTAAATAAATGTGGCATGCATGCCATGTAGATGAGGAGTGGTGCTAGAGGTGATAATACATGAAAACGTAATGTGCCTTGTAGGATGAGTAAGAATTAACCCAAACCAAATGTTTGAGGACTGAAATTTCCACTTTGATTTATTTATTTTAAATAATGGAACAAGGCTCCGGCCGCTACACCCCTGGAGGGATATACAGAGCCGTACAACACACCACCGAGCACTTAGGCTCACAAAACATTGAAAAAAAATCAAGACACAATTACACAAAGAAACAGAAAACACCAAATAAACAGAATGAATGAGTCCAAGCACTACTGGAGACGGCCTCTTTGCCGAGGGCGGCCCTCGGCAAAGAGCTCTCGAGGAATTTTGAGTCGGCGAAGAGGGTCTTTGCCAAGGGCCCTTTATCGGGCACTCGACAAAGAAAAGCAGCCGTCACGACGCCGACGCCTGGGACGGAGTCTTTGCCGAGGGCCGTCTCCGAGGACCCTCGGCAAAGAATTTTTTTTTTTGAAAAATCTTTGCCGAGGGCCTCCAACCATGGCCCTCGGCAAAGAAATGTGCAGATTTTTTCCAAAAAATCTTTGCCGAGGGCAATGGGACGGCCCTCGGCAAAGAATTATTCTTTTTTTTGAAAAATCTTTGCCGAGGGCTTTCACACAGGCCCTCGGCAAAGAATTTTTTTTAAAAAAAAGTCTTTGCCGAGGGCCTCCAACCATGGCCCTCGGCAAAGAAATGTTGCAGAAATTTTATTTTTTTAAAAAAAATTTTGCCGAGGGCAATGGGACGGCCCTCGGCAAAGGACCCTTCTTTGCCGAGGGCCTTGGTCATTGCCCTCGGCAAAGAGGCAGAATTTTTTTTTGTTTTTTGCATTCCATCGACACAAGCATTTCATATATATACATATATATCACACAGAACTTATTTTCTCACAATATATCACAACCATAATTGTGAACCACAAATCACAATATATTACAACGACAAGTCACATGTTCATCATCATTCACATGTTTATTACGACAAGTTCATGAAATCCAAGCACAAGTCAGAACCATAAACCACAAATATTATAATAAAGTCCAACCACATCACCTAGCACTAGTCCTCATCAAGGTAGCCTATGAGACGGTGGTGAAAGAAAGGCGAGATCAGCCGGTGACGCACTACCGGGATGATTGGAACCCGCGAGACGAAGGCTGCACAAAGGAGCAGAGATTGCATGTGTGAGTAATCCGGGAAAACAGTTTTGGAACTTAGAGATTGCATCTAGTAATCTAGGAATACAAAAAGATTAGACTCAATTGAAAATTTCGGCAGCACCTCCCCTGCATGAGGAGGTTTCCAAAACCTGCAAGAAACAATGGCACGAACGCCGACATCCACAACGGCACGAACGCCGACATCCACAACGGCACGAAGGCCAACATACATGCAAAGCACAAGCGAAAAGTGAACTTTCATACTTGCAGGAGTAGCTGCAGGAGTAGGAGGTGTTGGAGCTGAAAACTACACAGGTACACCCGATGCTTGCCCAAGACTTTGCATGATCACCATCATCTCCGCCATCTACTTCTGCACGGCCTCGAACGCGACCTGCTGGGCCTGCAGCTATGCGGTCAGTTCCGCGTTCTGCTCTTGACTTTGCCTTTTTATTTCTTCCAGCTCGGCCTAAAATATTTCACTCCAATGTATCAGTAATGCAAATCCAATTTAGGTGTGTAAATATCAACGTACGACGAGTAAAACAGGAATTACCTGGAGTGCCTGGACCTGCTGCAGTGCTGGAGAAGGCCGTGAGCATATGGGCTGGCTAGAGCTCGTGCTCCGTGCTCAGATAGCGTCGAGGGAGGGAACAGTGGTGGAGTCGATGGCGCCGTCTGCAATCCACAGCCACCCGTGCTTCTTGCCTCCTCCGAGCCTCATGATCGTCTCTGCATCAATGGGCTCAGTGCGCACATTATAATCTTCCCCATACATCTCCCTTACCGAGGACGTGTACTCTTGGACTTTAGTGTACACGTTCGGGTCAGAGTACACCTAGGGCGGGGCAGCCGGGTCGAAGGAGACAGAGGACGACGCCCTGCCCATGTGGGACATAGCCCATGCAGAGAACTCTGAGACCTCCTCGCCCGGGTGCGTAGCCTCCTACGAGAAAGACGGGAAGATGGTGAGAAATCAAGCAGAATTAAGCATCAAAATAAATGAAAGAAATCACTTACGTATGCTTGTTTGTATCCGGGGAGGCTGCGGCTGCCTTGATGGTGAGTTGGACTTTGCCTCATCAGACGCTGTTCCCGCTGCCTCTCGTGCGTGTCAACAAAGTCCTATGATAACCACTTGTCCAGGATCATGGCCCAGCACTCGGGATACGATCGGCACCACCAGGGAATCACCTACAAGTCATCGAGTATTTGACATATAAGAAGATGAAATTGAACCTACTTAATATCAAAACGAATCATTATGAATGTTATTCGCCTACCTCAAGGTACTGGCCTTGGGTCAGCGTAATCAGTCTTGCTTGAGGCTTGGGGAGGGACAGCTTAAGTACCGACCTATAGTAGTCTACGTGGGCTTGGACGCGCCCATGGTGGTGCATCTCGGTGACGTACTTCCTACAAGCTGCGACAGCCGCCCGATCCGCCTAGGCCTCAAGTCCTTCTTCGGCCTTGAAAAATTTCTGCATACAAAACCAATGTATCCATTCATTATTTCAATAAAACATTTAACCAATGAATGAGATGTATTAAGCAATGTTGTGCGAGAGAAACTTACCCAAAACTCCGCCAATACCCGCTCCTGCTTGTTGCGGTAAGTGTCATCCGTGACCAGCGCGTACCTGTCCTAGTTGGAGGCCGGCTCCCGCACCACTGGCTCTTCGGACAGTTGCACAATGCCGGGGTACCATTTCCTGCACAAAACACCAAGGATGCTCGCGGGGGTGCGTGCTAGAGTACCTGACAAAACCAACCAGGTCGTGCACAAGTGATTAAGAAAATTTATCAGTTTCTCTTATGATTTCCAACATATCTTATGAAGTAGTTGTGATAACATCTATAGTTACTTACCTCTTTGCAATAGGCCGAATCACTAGGCGGTTGTGAGGAAGCGGAACCAGAGGGAGGCTCATGGGACCTCGCTCGTAGGGAGTCCGGGTAGCGGTACCCCCTCCGTCGCCCTCGAGCCCCTCGCCTCCCTCACCCTCGAGCGCCTCGCCTTCCTTGCCCTCGAGCGCCTCGCCTCCCTCACCCATCTGTTGATCCCTCTCGTCCTCCGACGAGGACATGGCCATGGCCATCACGTGCTCCTCCTCCAGCACCTCGTCACGTGGCGAGGGAGGAGACCGCTGCCTCCTGCGGCTGCTGCCCCTGGTCCTCCTCTCGTCACCTCCTACGGACGCTGCCCCGGACGACGACCCCTCACCTCGAAGGAGAGGGCGGTCTCTCCCGTAAACCAAGGGCGTGTCATGGCATGGACGTCTGCTCGCCATCTTTGTTCAATCACCTGCAATCACAAAGAATGAACAAGACTAATTAGTACATATATTAGAAATAGATTCAAAATATATAAACAA